CCCCCCCAAAATGTTTAACTCCCCCACGTTTACGCACCTATACGCGCAAATACGCGCCCGGTGCCCCAGCGCGCAAAAACGACAATTGCGCTACACATGTTACATATCGCCGCGAACGTCGCAGTGAGAGCAATCATTTTAGGGCCATCAATCACTGATAACACTAAACTGATGAGCGGTAACAGCTTTTAAAGCGTCGCCTATGGCCAATTTTGGGTATTGTCGTTTTTTGAGGTTTCGCGAGCGCACGCAATTTTAAGGCTTGACATGTTTGGTGTCTTTTTACCCGACGTGACCCCGTCTTTTATATTTTACCAAAAAATTGGGTAATAATAAATGTTTTATCATTTAATATAGGGGAAACTGTTTTTTTTTTTTTAAATTCGGTAATTTTTCCTTAATATAGTAAAAAATAAAAACCCCAGTGGTGAATAAATACCACCAAAAGAAAGCTCTATCTGTCTCCAAAAAAGGGTATAAAATTAATTTCAGTACAGCGTTGCATGACGGAATAAATGTCAGTCAAAGTACCGCAGCGCTGAATACTGAAAAATGGCCTGGATGGGAAGGGGGTTTAACACCGCGGATGTCAACTGGTTAAAAATGACAGCTGCTTCCTAACTTTTGAATTTGTTTAGTCTTGGAGCTGGATCTGTACATGTACTAGTACCGAGTACGGTACTTGGTATCTGAACATCCCTAATAAAAAGTTTTAAGGCTCCGCACTTTGGGATAGGTAAGTTCAAGCTAAAACAAAGTAAAAAAAGCAGAGCTAAGAAATGAAACAAACACAGAGATTTCTTATGTGCTACATCTTCACTTTTATGACAGAAAATGAGCAGGAAAAAAAAGGATTTGATCACCTTTATCTCATTTTTTATTTGATCTCATAAGTTCCAAAAACTGCAATACCCTGGGCCTTTTCAGAGTAAAAATAAATCTTTAGTTCTAAAAGAGCTGCTTATTAGCACAACTTATTAATACCAGTCCAGTGGCTGATTATGGTGTTATCTGAGGAAAGATGTGAAAGAACAAACGCAGTCTGTGCAGATCTGCTAATGATCCCCTCTTATCAACTGACAACACTGAACTGGGTAAAATAAGTACTAAAAAGGACATTGAAAGATCTGAAATGCTGGCTGGCCTGAGAAGTTTCAATACCTGCTATTGTACATTGCTCTGGGGTTTGGAAAAAATAACATGCATCTGTATATACCTCATACGTTTTATCAACTTAGCATCTTGGTGGATGGAGTTTCTAAAATATGGTATCTTTTCTTGGCACAATGAGCCCCTTACCGAAAGTCCTCAAAATGAAGTGTCTCAAGATGTCTATCTGTTAATGGTTACCTTCACATCTATCATTTCATGGAAGTAGTACATTTTAGCAAGTTCATATCCATGGCCAAGTTTACCAGGCGTGGTTCTGAGAGTATATACATTTACATAACTATATGCTGAGTGTAGCAAAAATGTTGTATTCATTATTGATAATATTCTCAACTTCCATATTGGTAATGCAGAATATATACTGAACTGATTTCTTTCTAGGATAACTTTAGTGTCTTTCATGTTCTGTTGGTGTAAATGCTCACATACACAAATACCCTGTCACCTGGTGTACAAGTGCAGTATTGACCAAAGGGGGATTTTATTTTTTTGGTTTTGTGGGCTTTCCTGAATAAGGCCTCTAAACAGTGCACACATTTCCAGCAGACGGAACTATGCATTGAAACTAATCTTCCTACACGGCGACTGTGTTTGCTGGGATGACTGTGCTATTGCAATCAGAAACTTGGATGGGTACACTTTTATAGGTATGAGCAGCTTCTTAACCCTTTTATTACCAGAGGTCAGTGAAGCCTAGATGCCCATCAGTATAACTTTAATTTATTTGTCTTAATAATTTTACATTGTTTTTAAGAACATATAAGACTTATCCTTGGTACAGTATTTAAATAAATACCCTGGCCATGTGTGATTCCTTTGGTTCTGAATAAATATTCATACGGATTTTCCGAAATTCGGACACATCCAAATGTCCAAATCCCAAAGCATCCAAATGTGTCAAAATCCGAATTTCCGTTTCCGAACTTTGGATCCCGTCTGAATTTCTTTCAAAAACTAAACTGAATCAGACTGATTTTTTTTTTTGGGCCAATCAGATGTGCTTTTCTGTTTAATGCATCTGAATGGGTCTGAACACAAATTTTCTTTATGTAATGGCATTCGGGATCCGAATTCCGAATTGCATTCGGGAGCTCCCAAATGCTATTTGGGTCTGGAAGCCATATACATATACTGAAGCTGAGGCTCCTAGACCCGAATTTGGAAATTCGGATTTCAAATGCCATTTGAGTCTAGCAAATTCAGGTTTTGTATTAATATCTTTCTTTTTTTTTTTTTTATTCGCAACGAATATTCATAAACTCATCCGAAACTAACGTAAATTTGGATTTTGTCCGAATGCGAAACCCAAACAGAATTGAATTTCGGATTTAAATCCGAAATGGCAAAATAACCAAACCATATTTTTCCGCAGCTTACATGTCTAATCATAAGACGACAAATTGATAAAATTGTAAAAAAAAATATTTTTTAATCTATTTAATTTGTAATGTGTTGAAGACTCTAATTATACTTTATAAATACATTATTAAACTCAGACACACTGCCATCTTTAGGCTGCTGTGGCATTTGTAGGCTGAAGAGGTTTATTTTGTGAATGCATCTCCAGTCTCCATGTGATTATCTGTCTTATCTGATTGACTGTCATGTGATCACATGACTGAGTATCAAGCTGGTTGCTTCTTGATCATAAGTAGAAACTTTTAACTATCAGTGAGAGCCAAGAGCATGCACTGTACATGCTACCAGCTTTCAAATGAGGAACTTGGATTAATATTCCCACAACACGGGGACCCATGCCTGGAAATGTTAATCTACAGATTGCATCCACGATGATTAATCACAGCCAGTCTGAGATGATGATACATAAATACACAATCAGGACATGTGATCCAGATGAAACAGACAGCTACACCATAGTGTTATGTACTTATGCACTTAAAGTGTATGACCAGCCAAAATATAATTTTTTTTGTTTTGGATATACTATTGAAGGGTTAAGGCCCTGTTGAGTTTTACTGCTATCCATTACTTATTTAGAGATATTTCCTCTGCTTTCCTGTTTTGTTAACAATGGTTTTGCTAAACAAGAAGTGAGGGAAAACCTGCAACAGGGACACAGACAGCAGTACAATCTGACAGACGTACTAGCCTTTTTCTTTCTGTCTGTTTTGGCAATGGAGATTTATCCTCGCATGTGGTCTGGTGAAACTGTTATCTGCATAACAGGAATGGAACCAAAATCACTCTAATGGAACCCCAGATGGCAGGAAAACCCAACAGGGGTTCTAACCCTTCCCCACTCTAAAAAAAAAATAGATAAAATATGTAGGCTGTCACTGCTGAACTCTCCCTTTGAAAATGCTAGTTGTCTTATTAATTTAATCGAAAGTATTCAGTACATTGAGTTACTGACCCAGAGAAATTAGGATCAAGAGTTCTCATGGTAATATGCTTTATTAGCAGCATTCTGGTTCCAGGCTGGGGACTCAGAAATTTTAGGAATAGGAACTCATTAATAAAGTTAAATATTGTACTCAAAAAAGTTATATTAGTGATGGGGGCAAATGTATGGCTTCCTAAAAACCCCTTTAAAGAATTATCTCTGACAGATTAAATATCTTTAAAGTAGTATTAAACTCTCACATTTTGTTTTCGATAATGAGTCCAGATGAAACAAATATACATTGCCCAGCAAAGTATTTCTATACATTTTTGCCCAAGCACTTACAGTCATCGTGTTTCCAATAGCTGGCTCTATCTCTCTTAGCTCGGCTTCCCTGAATCCTGTCCAGTACAAGATCACAAGGGGGAGAGTGCAGCCTCCAGCAGCTGCCCATCTACTAGTTTGGAGAATAGAGAAGGAAGGAGGGCAGAGCTGGGGGAGGGGAGTGGCTTGTCTTGCTGTGCCTGTTTGTGGAGCAACACGCAGCTTACAAGCATACTTTGATATAACTTTAAAGTGAAAGGCCAGCCAAATTGAAGCCACATATAAAATACATTTGGACTGGAGTTTTTAACTTATGTGTGAGTAAAGTGGCAGAACAACATCTGTATTTCTCAGCCACTGGCAGCTGGGCACACAACTAGATATTTATTAGCACAGTGTTGGGAATATTACATAATTCTATCTATCTATCTATCTATCTATCTATCTATCTATCTATCTATCTATCTATCTATCTATCTATATATAAAATCTGTCATCCCTAACTTTGTGTCACTGCTCTACTACTACCAGAACAGGCATGCAACAAGTGAAGTGTAAGGACAGCTGATTTGTTTGTTGCTTGGTCTACAACTCATCATTCAGTGGAGAAAATATACATTCGACAACTGCAGAGCTTGCACTTTCAGTAATGCCATTTCGTATGTGGTTGACTGGCTCCTTTGTGTATATGTCTTATTTAAAATGCTTTTTGAAATGCTCTGATTGACTCTATATGCTGCTTGGCATAAGATTTAATGATGAAAAGATTATCTGGCTTATGATATCTTGACTGAAATAACTGCTGAGCATATATATGTGATATTTGCCAACCATGTGTTTTTGGATGTATTACCTGCCAGATGGTTTCATGCTGTAGGTATTACTGCTGTGCTTTACAAAGCTGTGTTGTGGATATGACAGTGTATAAGAGTTATGGAATTTTAGGCTGGAGGTACAGTGAGATTGTCGCTTGGTACAATTCTTTGACTTAATCATTTGAGCTCTCCCTATGTATGGAACATACACAGGGAAATCACATTGATGAATACCTGTGTCAGTATTGCTCAAGATCTGGAAGGTTGATAAATTTAATCTATTTCTTTTTATTTTTTATTTTTTGGCTGGTAATGTAAAAATGAATGGAGAAAACTTACCACTTTTGAAGGCTTCATAGTTAAAGGAGAACTATGGGGTTAGGTCTTTTCCCCATAGTTCTACTTAGGGTAACGGGAGGACAAAAACTAGCATCCTCCCGTCACCCTAGGCTCAGTATACCGCGAGCTGTAGCTCGCGGTATACTGAGACGCTGAAGCGGATACCGACAATTATGTCTGGATCCGCCCAGCTGCGTGACTGACAGCTGGCTCTGCCTATCTAAAGGCAGAGCCAGCTGTACCCTCCCCCGTCCGTTCCGCCAGTCAGCACTGGCGGATCGGAGCAGGGAGGGGGGAATCCAGCCCCTCCCCTGTCATGGCAGAGAGCCATGACAGGATCAAGTGGTGAGCGAACGCCGGTATGTGTTCGCTCACCTCCCAATCTACTGAGCCGATCTGTGACAGTTTATTGTCACAGGTCGGCTAGAACTATGAGGTGAGTGAAAAGCACTCACCTCATAGTTCTCCTTTAATAACAGGTAGGTCATCTGACCTGCAGTGAATAATAGGAGTGAATGTTGGGTACACGGAGCACCATCCAAGTATCTAATCAATCATTTGAAACCAGACTTCTATACAAATAGCTAGCTTTACACTAGTTGGTTATTTTGGTATTTATATATAATATTGTGAACTCAAGGTACATACATGTTATTCACTTACAGGGTTAT